AAATTGCTCTTTCAGTTGTTATGTTAGCAAATGCTGGGATTTTAGACGTTTTGCTGCTGCGTCGTGATGGGGAATGAAGTTCTACTTGACTCTACAAAGATCCCGAACATCAGAAAGCCAGAACTTGATTAAACCGGATGTGGCGTGACCTTAAACAATACTCGCTTGCCTTTGTTATAAAACTCGCCCCAAACAGCATGTGTCATGCGATATTTGTCAAAATATTTCTTATACAAAAGTAGGCGGATATAGCGACGGTCCTGGGCAGTCCGATCTTCTAATCTTTCGTCAGTTTGTTTTGTGATTGTAACTTCGATGCATACGGACGCAATTCTCGAAGTGTAATGGTGGTTTTTGCTCTATATCTGAAGGTGGGTGACACTAGCCTTTTGGTGTTGCTATAATTTTTGATAATTAAGTGTGTTCTGTGCCTTTAACAGTCATTTCAAATTTGATATAAGTACGCAGTTAAGTAGAAGCGATTTTTTTAAGTCTTTATTGATCTCTAATGGACGTGGATAAGATCTTAATAGTGTCATCATTCGCAAGAAGGTTGTTGGGTGGTACTTTTCCACGCTGTTTAATTCCAGTTTGCTTTGATTTCTGTCTATGGCGTGAAATCGTGGTCAGTTGAAGCTCCACTTATATTGATCTGCAGTTTTATGTCTTGGTTATTCGGTCCCTTCTATTCAGTTTTCCTTCGCAAGATATTTTTAAACTGTATTTCTTGCCTCAGAAAAACTTTCGAAAACGAGTTCATATCAAATTATTTTTAAGTATAATTTCTAACTTGATGTTTAAAAAAGTTGTAAGGCAGGCGGGGTGTCGCCAAGGAAACTTCATTGATGTATATATGTTTGGAAGATCTTAGTCGGTTTGATATATTCTAGAATTCCGATGAAAATTGTGATAAATAACTAGAATTTTCTGAGTTACAGTTTAAAACTGCATTAAACTAACAATTTTGCTCTAGGAGGGGTTAACACGTCACTTGAGTACCGGAAAAAAACGTCACCTATCGAAAAAGGCACAGCAAAAGCTACAGAGAAACTCCTGAACAACAGCAAAAATCATTTCTGCTCTGTTATGAGAATTTGGTATACTTAACGAAAAATAAAACCAAATTATACCCAGAGGCTTGCTGGCCCAGCTCTATAGGTCAACTAAGGCTTTGAGGCGGATAAAACTGATCAATTGTGTTGAAATTAAATTTTCTATCTTTCTTGTTCATTGTCGTCGTTACCTTGTCGAGTCTCCGTTCATTTATTCCGTGGACGAATATCGCCATAATATAACGCGTCGCGACGTAAAGTAATATTTTAAGTGTTGTTACAGACATCGCGACATCGATTTCAAGAACCTGAAATATGACTACTAATTAGAACGTCCGAAATAAACTTAACAAAAAGGCCATATATTCAATCTTAAATGGGAAAAACAAACAAGGCAATCCAGTACTGCATGTGGAAATTCATCCACAATGCAATCACCGCATTTAGACTTTGAGCTTGGAAAAATTTGTGGTACACAAAGAGATTGGACCACACCTGGGAGAGTACAATAAAGCACCACGGGAAACGGTGGCTTTCATTCGAATGATCACACTTTTATGTTTTTATCCACAGACTCAAAAAACTTAGAACCACCTGATACAGCATAATAAACGGTATCACAGGAAAGTACTGCTCAGTGGCTTTCATTTGAATGGTCACACTTTAGGATTTCATCCACAGACTGAAAAATTATAACCACTTTAATTATTTTGCAGTTACAACACACTTTGCACAGCATTTATATTATAAGCATTACCACAGGAAAGTACTCGGCTTTAGTGGCTTACATTTGAATGGTTACACTTTAGGATTTATTCACGAACTCAATAGTTCACCACCTTGTACTGCATAATAAACATTACCACAGGAAAAGACCCGCTATATCTTATTTAAATGGATTTTCCCAGACTATTGTTAAAACCCGTACCCTGCGGTGTTAAAAAAAAAAACCATAGAGAGTTACGCGGATCAGTAACTTTCATTTGAAGTGCCCGAGCCAATTAGTTCCAAGAATCGAATTAAAAAGAAAGCCAAAATAATGAAAAGCATACGTGTACAGTACTACGTGAAAGTACTGGTGATAAAGGTTCGTTTGAATGGTTACATGACAGAGTTACGTCTTAAGTCTCGATGTTCTTTTGTAGATACTATTTTTTGTGTTGTCTGCTTGTACAAAGCATGAATGCTCCCTTTCATTGTGGTTTGATTATATTATCGCAATCAACCAGATTATTGATAAGGAACCATACAACTTTTGTCCTCAGTTATTTTAAGCTTGGCATTGTTAAGGGGCGCCTGAAAGACCGACTGGTTAATGAAAATTGAAAATTAATGTGGAATCAATTACGACTTTTTTTTAACTGTCCACTTTAAAAACTCACGCAACTGTAAGACCAAACTTATTCATATGTCTCACGAAAGGAAAAGTAAGTAAAAATACAAGCATCTAGATAAATAAATAAATAAATAAATAAATAAATAAACAACCTATGTTTAGTCTTTATCTTACTTTATCTTTCTCTTCAGTTATTTACTGTGAGGACAAATAACATATGTAATGTAAACCTCTAACTTTTGAGTCTGTCGGGCATGAAATCCCAGACAGCTAAAACTCCGTATCAGATGTATTCCGGCCCCAGCTCTACTGTTAAATGGTACTATTGTTAAATGCCTACTTTCACTATCGATGGGGTCGCCCTTCCACAAAACAAGAGGGTCGTGGAGATAGCCTTTCCTTCTACCTCTTTTTGTTTATTTGTTTTTTTTTCATCACCCAGATGTCTACCCAATTATGCAAAAGTAGATAGCATTTGGAGACACTGATCCAGCTATTCTTTTCTAAAAGTGATAATCATATCAGTCTACACATCACCTGTCATGGCTTTGCTTTGTTTGATTTCATGTTTAAGAACCTCTTAGTCTTAGATATCAAGTTATGTTTGAAATTGCGAGAAAAAATGTAATAACTGCCGCTGTCGTGCAAAAACCGGTAGTCGTAAGGTTTCCCTCGTGACATAATAATCCGCGAGTTTTTCAAGTTTCCGGCAGCATCATTTATTACGGTTTCCGCGTTTGCCCTATCTTGTTTGATCGACGGTCTGCCCTAATAAAGGATGGTAGGGGAGGGGAGGGGGGGAGAGGCGTCTGTACACAGGCTACCCTGAGGGGCATATAGCAGAAAAAGTTGAGCTGCCCGTTTTTGTGTTCCCACCGAGGCTGTGCAACCTCGTATCCCCAGGGCTTTTCTCTTAGAATCAGGGTGGATGGGTTAGGAAATGATCTGGTTCATAAGAAAGATTGAACACACCATGCAAACAGCCCAATGTGTCAAACATTACCCATCTGAAGGCACCGCTTTTTTTCTTCTTACATGCATAGTATTTAGTTGAACATAGACGCTGATAGGCGACTATATAGTGTGAAAATTCAAAAGAAAGCTTTTGATCTGTAAGTTTCTGTAGTGCATAAGGCGCTGTAATTTTTGAGTTCGTGAATGGAGTAAAGAATTCCACATTTACTATCCCTTTAATAGAATCAGGAAGCTTTGAAGCAAATCCGTTTTCTTAACCTTAAAAGTCAGAAGAACTAATAACTAACAGCAAATGATTTTTGATTTTCAGAAAACAGAAATAAAAAATAGCAATCGTAATCAAATATCAGAACTTCTCCCACTAGAAATGAGAAAATTGGGAACTGGAAACTGAAATTAGGAGTTAGATATCACCCCCAGATTTTAGAAATGAGAAATGAGAAAACCAAAAACTGAAAGTAGAAATCAGAAATTAGCAATCAGAAATAATCAGAAATCAGATTATAGAAAATCCGAAATCAAGAAACTGAAAATTGCCGAAAGCAGAAAGCAAAAGTTTGCTAGTTTTTTTATTTTAATAGTCTTTTATGGCGGTCTTTATTTGGGCTGATGAAAGTAGAGAACAAACCAGAGAGCTGTTGTCATTTCTTTCCATCAGTTAGACTGCAGAAAGTCTTTTATTTTTCTCGAAGTTCGAGTCCTGGGGCCCGTTTCTCGAAAGTCCCGATAATCAATGTGCCCGCAAAGCTGTTGTTGTTTACATGCAAGATAGAGGTTTCAATAGCTTGGCAACATTAGCCAACAGCTGGGGAAACAAAACGCAGTAATTTGCTAGCTAGGACCGGTGCTTTTATTCTTTTTTATTGAATATTTGATTTCGGGCCCGAAACCGGGACTTCACGAGAAAGGGGGCTCTGCGAAGCTCGCGGTCTATCTCCTTTTGAACATGTGTACAAGGCTTTCGAGTGTTCGAGCAATTGCAAGTTTCATCACTTTCATGTGCACATTTTTTTCTCATACAATTGTGATTATAGAAAGAGTTTACATGTTTTACGGGGTCTTTTACAAGAGTTTACTGTTATTGTTCCTTCCTTGTAATTTCAGGATCACCATCTTAGAAATTACGCAATGCCGTGTCATCTTACGGGTGTTCCTTAACCGGAAGTAAACACCGACATTTTTATTCCAAAGCGCACGCTTTTTGTTATGATCGTATATGTGTTCGTGAATGAATGTGTGAGGGACCGACATGATGTCACCGTTGAACCCATGCACCTGCTTTTAAAAGGTTTAAGTACAAAAGAGATCAAATTCAAGTCGTCAACTATTATCACGGAAATGCCACGAACCGCAAGTTATAATTTCGAACAATTCTTTTTTTATTTTTTTAACTTTTATTTTCACGGTTGATTAATGATCAGAAGAATATGCTCAACAATTAGCCGGAAAAGTCTCGAATGCCTTTCTTTAAAGAGTATTTTTCAAGCGGCTTTTAAGTTACTTAGCGACTTACTCAAACGAAAACTATTTTACCGCAGTGGCGTCATCGATCATCTTCCACCCACACCTCCCTGGATGGGTGCACGTGACCGAAATAGAATGAAGCCAAAGTATTGGTTCATGATTGGCGGGAATAAATCACGTGGGAGGCCGTAACCACAAAAATTAACTCAATTTATTCATAGCTTCATAACAGAATACAAATGGCAGCCGAAATTTTGGTCGTTGAGGGATGATTCTCTCGTTATGTTATAATATTGTAACGTTGGTTAAAGGATTTGGGCGGGATATAGCGCTCACAGAATGAAGGTTACGGTTTGTTTTGATACAGTTTGTGTCATCGTTCCGTGTGGCAATGGCGAGTTGACAGTATCCGAACTTATACAACGCGCGATTTCAAGGTATCGCAAAGCAAGTAACAAGGCAAGTCCGAATACTGCTAAGCCTCTTTCTTGACATTCAGACATTTGTGTTATGAAAACATCTTTGCTTTTAACTATTCTTTATGTATTCTTGAATGCCGACCTTGCATTTGATATAATTATACCTCGGATTCGCTCACAAGATTTGCCCCAGGGTTGATTAAATTCTCATTTAGTCCCGATATAATTTTACTCGTTCTATTTGCCAGTTTGAATATTCAAACCGTGCTTTACTCATCTTACTATGTATGTTGCTGAATTTACAACTGTTGATTTAATTGAATTCGCGTTTTCTTGGAAACTGCGAGCTTGTATTCCATAACTTTCAATGTTCTACTTCATTTTCCGGCGTCACCGGATGAGTTATTCGATTCGTATAAATTTACAAATGTTATGTATCCAAGGTTCCTATTAAAGTTTGTATCGAACCGGCAGTTAAGAATAATCAGGTTACAGCAATCAAACCTCTGCATATTTTATTTTAACCTTTCAAATCCAACTTAAGTAAATATAACTAGGGATTACAGCTGCAAATTTTCATGTCGATCCACCAGAACATTCGTCGTCAAAATGTCGACAGTACACATGCGAAAAATCATAAATCATTTTCAGCATTTAGTCTACAGTTTCCCAAGTTTTCTCATTTCTTTTTTAGACTGGAAATCGTTGTTTTTATTTTAGTTCTAAGGTTCCCATTCTGTGTTGTTCATTTTTGTTGATAGAGCATATAATCGAGTATCGATCAATCGTACTTGTATAGTCTTCAGTTTGTATATAACTTAAGCTTAAATCACAATTTGCTAAGGCCTCAGCATTGATTCATAATTTTTTTGATAGACACATTGTACAGAAGGTATGTCATTACAAGAAACAGTTAAAAGTCCAATTTAATCAAAACATGAGCTTTTTTTCCATTTTCTTCTAGTCTTCCGAGGAACTTATTCAAGTACATTTTTTGGAGACAAATGAAGATCATGGAATACTTGATCCTGACGACGTCCTCTCAGATGTGGTCGACGACAAAGACAAGGTTCTGATTTTTCCTTCTTATTATCTATACTATCTCATATCTACGTCAGTATTTTTCTTTCTTATTAAAGGGGGATTACACTGAATGTTCCTTGTTTTTTAAATTCTTTAGTTATGATTCTATTTTTAAATGAAGTTTACAACATTGAAATGAACATGAAGTTAATTGTTGTAGCGTGATGCGTGATGAGCTTACACCTTACCAATTGTCCAGAAACTATAGCTTGGTACTGCTTTTATTTCTTTGTTGATACGAATTACTGTCTGTTCTTCATTACTGTGGCTTAGGAAGAACAATCTGATGTGCTAAGTAATTTTAGAATGAATGCTCTCAAGAAGATCAGTTTAATGTTTGTTTAGTGAATTTTAAGTATTTTGCCCTCCTGCAAATGTTGTGATCATGAGAAAAATGCAAACGTTTTGTAAACAATGTAAAAAATTGTCATGAAGGCAGATTCCACTACAGCTTCTTTTGCTGCTGTGAGGTCATAAGACAAGTGTTAAAATTGTGCCTCTAAAATCTCACCTAAAGTTTTTCTTTTGGACAATTTACTTCATTAATTAGCCAAAATTTGTTTTGAAACGGATATTGTGAAATACCATTGAATGGTGGTAGCTTTGGTAATTTCCATTTTAATAAAAGAGTTGTTAATTTGATGAGAAATAGCCACTAACCTGAAACAAATTAAAACTTTATATTCTGCCAAAATAATTTATTATTGAGTATAACTTACCGTTTTCATTGACTACACGTGCAAGGTCAAGTAATGTCCTTATGGTTGGGAATGAAATATTGGCCCATGTTAGAAAGTTATGTGGCAGATATTTGCTTGCTTGTACAGACTGTGGCTCATTTTGTTATTCACGCTTCTGTGTAAAAGCTGTCTGTAGGTGAATTACATTATTGGGTTGAAGATTCAACAACAATGCAACGAAATGCTTTAAACAATATAAACTTGGTCGCACTCACTGACATCTTTGTGAAAAGGACTTCACATTTCATGAAATGACAAAGCTTAAACTAAGGTTTATAATACTGAGAGACAATTGTGGAAAAGAAATTCCTTCATAACACATATTTGCAGTGTGCAGTTATCTTAAATTTGATCTGAGCTAGAATGATGCAAGATTACTTTGTATTCATTTCAACTTAAATTTCCATGCATTTGTTTAACATTGCAGACATTAAATAACCACTAGGCCAATGTCCTTTGTTATTGTTGGCTTCTGTTATCTCATTAAAAAAGTGTCTTTTGACAACTTATTTTGAAGGCTATGTTAAGTTGAATATTTCAAATTCTTGCAGGGCTTTATTTTCTCCAAGAAAAATTGTTGCAAGATCAAATCGTCTGAACTTATGAAATCTAGCTTCTTTGCAGTTTAAACATTTTCTTAAAAAAAATAAAGTTTTTCCTGTCCTCCAGAGGCAGGAGTTAGTCGCTAGCAGCCATAGGGTGCTTCTTCCTAGAGAGCACACTACTGATGTGTTTGTGGATTATTTTTGGTAATTTAGCCAAAAACTATTAATGGAGTTAGTTTTATTAAAAGCTACCTAAAATGGACCAAGTAATGAAAATGTGGTTCTGATTTTAATAGAGACAATGATTTTTGATCTAACTACTCAGAGCAGCTGGAGTCTACTATTAACTCTCTCTTAAGATGGACACCTTTGGGATGGACACTGTGTCTGTCTTAGAGAGTTAGAAGGATTTGTATGAGAAAAACAACTTTTGCCACCCAGTCACGCTTGAATTATGGTTTTCCATACAAATCCTTACTGCAACGTACATCATTTCAGTGGCATAAAGTGAGTTACAATGTATAATGCTTTATGGTTCCTTTTTACATGAGAGGTTATTTCTATGGGATCTGACTTTCAAGACACGGTTGAAAGGCAGCTGTAACAGGAAATTTACAAATAAAAATAGATCTTGCAAAAATTTTTATGCCATACAGTACAACTGTGTTCTTAGGTTTGTTAGGATGTGAAATACCGTAAAAACTCGTGTATAAGCCGCACCCCCAACTTTCAAGCATGATTTTGAAAAAAAAAAAAAAACCAAAAATGCGCTTTTGTAAAAAAGGTGATCGTTTGTTCGCGCATCAAAATGTTCACAAATAAACTTGAGGAAATTTAATGTTGTGTATTTGCAGTGACATTTTAAATAAGTTAATCAACTCTGAAAATACCTTTTAAAAGGTTCTCTTTAATCAATTTCCCCATTTCCTGCGAAAGACAACAGCTCTCTTCATTGCTAAAGCCCACAGTTGAAATGAAAATGGAACGATGGAACGAAAGTAAAGCGCTGGAGAATGCTACAAAACGATTGCTTAGTAACCACGCGTTTATTTGATGAGGGAAGTCTGGACACCAGAGAAGGACACAAAACGACGAAACGGTCGGCCATTTGCCTCGCGAATTCTCTCGAATAGCGTGGTATTTTCTTGCACGTAGCGGGGAAATCAGCGTTGAAGTGATCGGTCGCAGACGACACTGTAAGCAGCTGTGCGGAGGAATGGAGATTCCGTGCCAGTTAGAGTTTAACTGCTTAAACAAAGCGCAGATGAAACGCTTAAAAGAACTACTGGCGAGCAAGATTCAGGTATAGAACCTGAAGATGCAAACAAACGGCTCTTTTAGGAGCCACCACTTCTACTGAAAGCAATGATCAACGACAGGTTTCAATATGTTTAATCTTTATTTACTGAAGGTTTTCAGTTCAATTTGTGACCCCTACAAACCAGTTTACTCCCTTTGAGAGCAATGGTCTCGTGTATAAGCCGCACCTGCGATTTTTGACTCAAAATTTCGGCAAAAAGGTGCGGCTTATACACGAGTTTTTACGGTACCACTACGTTTGGAGGTTTATTAATTTAATGGTAATAACTAATTAAATTTCATGCTATTTCAGTTGCTAGCTGTGTTTCAAGAAGGCTCAACTCTTCACCGGCCGTCGCAAAATGGAGGATACGGCACCAGTGCATCATCAGTGGGGACAGCAAGTCCTGAATTGTCTCCTCGCGAAGATGAAACCACAAAATTTATTGAACAGCCAGTAAAATCATTTGCTCCAGTTAGTAACACTGTTGAAAACACTAATGGTGAAGTCAAACATTTCTCCAGACACATGAAAAGTCCTCCACCCCCTGTGGCTCCAAAACCTGTTAGACCTGTTCGGCAGGTTAAACATATCCTCAGTGCTAGGAGCTCATTTGTAGAGTCTCTTCCTTCGGAAGATTCTGGGATATCTACTCTTGATGACCGTGACAGATATCGAAATAGCTCAGACTCATCAAAGTCTGAAATTAATGACAATGTGTCGGTTAAACCGGCAATTTATAAAAGCAGGACAGGAGAGACTACTTTTGTTGCGATAGGGAGACCTATCAAATCCCCTGTGTATAATGGTAATTCGAATGGAGAAAGGAGGCGATTTTCATCTACCAGTTCTGATCATGCAGATAATGAACACAGTGAAGTTGAAGAAGAAACGTTTTCTTTGGGACGGAACTCAACAAGAAAATCAATGTTTGTAGATAGTCCTATGCTGGACAGATGGGCTGAACTGCAGGAGGAAAGAATGTTTGGGGTGAGTTTAAAAAGAATAAGACACCCAAGTTACAATGGAGGTGCACTGTATTTTTCAGGTTCAATTTTATTGTTGGTCCAAAGGCATGTTATTTGCCTTTGTTTTTGGGTATTGTAATGTATGAAAATACAATCACATAGATTAAGATTAATTGAAACCTCAACACTGCGGTATGTTTTGTATGTATATGTTACAGGTGAGGTCAAATTTAATTTCACGTTAATTTTGATTTAAGCGAGGTTGATTCTCAATTTCATTTTTCTCCTGGCCTTAGAAGACAAAGGAAATTGAGAATCAACCTTGGTTAAAAAAATTAACCTAAAATCAAATTAGACCTGTAACTTATATATGGTCTGGTTGTTGGTACGTCAGTAATTTAATCCAATATCCAGCCATCTTGACGAAATGAGCTTGGTGAATTAAGGATTTTAATTTGGCCAAGAAGAAAACTATTTCTTGCAGGACCAACATGGGAAATCTTAAATGGGGAAGATATACTCATTTTACCCACTCCGGTAGCCAGTCAGAACACAGGATTTGCTTCCTCTTGCATCTTGCAAATTCAGCCATTTAATAAGGTGTTTTGTTAACTGTATTTCTACTCTATTTCTTTTTCATTTATTTTGCAGGTAAATAACCATAGGGGCGAGCCAGTCAGTACTGTAACATCTCCATCAGAGCCAAGTTCTAATGAACCAGTTTTTGATAATCATTATAATGATGGTGATGAACACTCTGAAGCTTCAGAAAGCAGTGGGTAAGAACATCTCACAGTTTCACAATGCAAATAGAGAAATGACAATACATGTACATGAAAAGTGATGGAAATGAAAATGATGATCAATGGTAGTGATTATGATGATAATGATAATAACTATCATAATTATAAAACAAACTCTGAAAACCCAAAGTGTAAAGCAAGTTAGTTAGGGAGTGTTTGACTGATCACATGCTGGAATAATACACAGAAATTGTGACAAAACTTGCTTCTCTTTCTCGCCTCTCTCCATGTTATTAATTTTTCCCAGATTTCTTGATTTCTCCAGAGAATGAAGACTTGGAAAACAAGTAATTTTTAGAGTTTATCCCATGCATTCTTATTCTGGGAGACAGAATACTATTTCTCATACTAAGTTACCAAGATCTCAAAGTTACCTTATGGAAGGTGCAGTTAAGGTGCAATTATTGCACTGAAAGCTTTTTCATAATTTACTGATTATTGTAATATGAAAAAGCCTTTATTTCATCTTTATTTTATTGATTAAATTTGTTTCCTTTCATTTTATTGTGGTGGCTTTAGTGAAGCTGATATGACTATGATAGAATTAAAGAGAGAGGATTCTTCAGAAGGATTGGGCATCACAGTCACGGGATACCGCACAGCTGATGGCAGGTATGTGGCAATGCACTGCCAATAATGCAGGTATCAGTGTTTAGACAGAGAGGAAAGGGGGTCTGGGCATAGTTAGAAAGGGATATTTTATCAAATTTAAACTATTTTTCATTCAGTTAGGAATTTGATTAAAATAATTCAAATGCCACACCTATGCCCGTCCCTCCCCACCCCTTTCTCTCCGTCCAAACATTGATACCTGCATCAATAAATTAGCTTGTGTGCCAAGTGTGTGTTAACAAGTGTGTTTTAGGAGTGTTAAGTGATGAGAAAAAAACGGCTGGGTAGAAGACTAGGCACTAACAGATTGTTTCTGTCCCTTTTTGCAACTATTTGCACTTTCACTTTACAATGCAGTTTACCAAAAAATATCACTTAGTACTCATTCAATCTATGTAAATAGTGGAAAACATTGAGGTCACCATTGAATGTACAACCTCCAGAAGTATATTTCCAGTCCACAGCAAACTCAATAAAGCGCAAAATCAATCTTGTATTTATTTGGGAGACGAGAGGGTTGACTAAATGTACTTAGGCTACAAGTGCGTGTAAGTATATTCAGGGCTTTTGATGCGTGTGGAAAGCTTTTGTTTGTGTTTAAAAACTTGGCTAAATACCTCGTTTCGAGATGACAGTTGATATGTCATTAAAAAGTCGCTCTTCCTTAGCCGAAGATTTCGTCTCTTTCCTTCTGCCAGTTTTTTTCCAATAGTTGCTAAGTTTACTAGACAAGTGTCATTAAAATAATCAAATTAATATTTCCTCATACAATTCTTTTCTCTTCAGTATTTTACAGGGCTAAATTTTATAAAGTCACATTCACTTTACAATGACATTTGTCAACCAAATTGGTTAATGGGGCTGGGGTTCCAATGGTTTGATATGCAGATTTTACCGTCTAGTTTCTCCAGTGCATATTCAAATTAGTATTATTTCTTAAATTCTTTCCCAGGGAACTTGGTCTTATTGTTCGCGACATCACTTCAGATGGTTGTGCAGCAAAAGATGGCAGACTTCAAGTAAGCAATTTTACTACGAGTTGTTTTTCAATGCCCTTTTTTTTCAACCCATCTTTATTTCTGTACTTTCCGCCACCCTTTCCCCTCTCCCCAGTCCATCGCTCATTATTTTTTTGTTGTTGTTTCACCCCGTTTTTTGCCTTTTTCCCCGCTGCGGAACCTGGTCACAGGCTATTGAAACAGCCTTCAGAATCCTTGTTAACATTCAAATAAGAAATATTTATCTTGTTGGGAAAAGGTGTTAAATATAAATGGCATCGATACTGTAAATACTCGAACCAATTTGAATGGGCGCGCTTATTTGAGAATTCATGGTAACTGTAATCTAACTTGCAGATAGCTGATAGGATAGTTGAAGTCAATGGTTGGAGTCTTATGAATATGCCGAATGAAAGGTAACTACATCACCACAGCATCATAGTTCTATTTTTAAACCTTTCGTTTTGTTCCTGTTAATAACGGCTTCAAGATTACTGCAGTAGAATAAATGGGCGCCGGCAGTAACCAAGAGCCTGTTTACATGGATGTGGGCCACAGATAGGTGAGGTATCTCGCGGCAGGTCATCCCACCTATCATGAAAACTTGCATCAAACGGAGATGTTTGCTACGGTTTGGCCTATCGGCCACGCCTATCCGGTGAGAACGGTACGGAAAACGCGTCTTTCAAAAACCCTCTCCGGCGTTGAGATCTTTGAGAACGCCGTTTTGTACTCGTGTGGATGGATGAAAACTGAGCTTTTTTTGAAATCGATCCCATCATGGTGTTGGTTACCAGTAAATGTGCATGCTCCCATGAAAGATGGTACCGTTTTCATTCCAGCGATTCAAAAACGCAAGAAATGGTCTTGGATTTTGCTTTGAAAACGGAGAAAAGAAATGTCCGTTTTCAAACGAAAACGGATACGTGTGCACGGGTTAATGGTAGTTTCAAAGAGTGACATCTGCCTTGAAACACTGTTCGAAGAGTATAGTTTCCTGAAAGCTCTTAAAGAATCTCATCTACTGTTGCAATTTTTAAATTGCTTTTCTCCTTTAGAGCCGAGGAGCTTTTTGCTGCCGCCATCAAGTCCTCTGTCGTAAACATTGGTGTATCGCGGTCCCATTCATTTGTACCGGGTCAGAAGTCAGATGACCAGCAAGAGGAACCGAAACTTGAAGTCAGTGAAACAGAAGAACAAGAAAAGTCGCCCAGAGAAGTCTTGCCGTTAACTCCCCAATCGCTTATTGGTTCGCCTTCCATTCCTGACTCTAGCTTCAAGAAAATAAACAAGAGAATTCTTGTTGAACTAATGAAAGGTATGGGTGTTCGGTAGAGCTGGTGTTGAGTTAGCGAACTAAAATCTGTAGTCGCTGAGTTTTATTAATTATTCGTAAAGTTAAATAAAAGGAGATCGTCACAGTTGTGGAAGCAAATTTTGCAGTTGCGAGAAGAAAGCCTGAAAAAATCAGGCTTTTATGGGATTCGAACCATAGCGGTGCGGTGCGTTCCCAATGATTTTTAGTATACTCACTATTTAATTCGTAAAGTTGTTAAAACCTCTAATTCCGTTTTCCTTGCCCTAAGAGAATGTTTTTTTTCTAAGTGACGGACCTTAGTCTTGAGTATTGTCCCGCTTCTTTATCCCAGTAACGTTTCGAGGTCTTTCAATGCCGCTAAACAACGTTCTTTTCCCTCACCAGGAAATGATGGGCTTGGATTTAGCATTACGACGCGAGATAATCCGGCGGGAGGTAACACGCCGATATTTGTTAAAAGTATCATGCCAAAAGGAGCTGCAATTGAAGAGGGACAGTTACGTAGTGGAGATCAAATTGTAGAGGTATGTACTATTTTCTTTGAGGGCTTTTTGTGGACCAGCCTGAAAACCCTTTTTAAAGCTGGCCAAATGAGGGCGAGAGTTTCCGCGCCAGTACAGTTCTTGCTCTCCTTTGGTCTAAAAACTCTTATAACTCTCGGCGACTCTCACTCACTCTGAACGGCTGTTGTCTATTTAAACCAGTTAGTTTTTAGGACAGTCCTTGACAGGCTGTTTTCCTCTCGTTTGGCTCTGGCTTGAGAGCTGTATGGGAGTTTTGGGATCTGCAGTTACAGTAAATTTTAATTTTGTGGGCTTAACGAAAGAAATGGAGCCTGGGTGAGGTTTATCGTCCCGTCAAGTTTTATGAGGCAAGACCTTTCTGGTGAGGTTTCTTCACTATGCCTTTCTTAAAATTATTTATTTTAGAACTCCTTCTATTCATGTCAAATTTTGATCCTTGTTGGCATCCTGAGATGACAAAAGCCGCTTGGGAGTTCTGAAGAAGACGCTCGCTCTGTAAACTTTCTTTCATTCAACGCTCACGAACATTCGCTTCCCTTTAATCCTACAGTACATAGACTCTCTTCAAAGTCACTGTCCTCTCATGAACAATTTTTAGCGAGTTAAAAGACTGTTTCTTAAAACTAGAGCGAGGCCAGGTAAAATTTTGGTGAGACGGAAAGCTGATTTCTATTTAACACGTACATATTTTAGGTAAACGGGGAGAAGATGAATGGAAAGAGCCAAGCCGAAGCTGTTAACGTGCTACGAAGTACGAGGGGTTTGGTTAAGATTTTGATTCAAAGAGAAGAAGTCATGCAGTCACCCCGAACACCGGCCATTGAGGTGAGCTGAGCATGTGTTACTGTACAGGCACTCCAACGTTTTCTGGGGCAGGACAAGCGAGGAGAAGTTAGATGCATGTTGGCAGTGAAAGCAGGTTTCCACGTGGAGCAAGACTTTTTATCGCCTTAGAAACTTGGGCTAGTCGATATTTGGTCTTACATGTGATGTGCAGACACAAAATATTAGGAGCAAAAATTAGGAAATTCCGGATGTACGATAGTGGTTTGGTATTCTCTTGTGGCTTGCGTCAAAGTTAAACAACTGAACCAGTGACCAATATACAGTGTAGTCGCGTGAGCTAGTTCACAATTGGCGTCTGTTTTTGCAAGAAAACTGAGGAAGCTCGTTAAGAGCTTTTGTTTGAAGGGCCAAAAAAAGTGGCAGTGACATTCCTAGTATTGGTTCGAAGGATGCGCACAAGTTGTTCTAATTACCGTGCGTTTTGACTCCTTAAAAAAGAAAAAAAAAAAATAGGGGTCGACCATTTGACTTGTGAGGGGGTTCTGGGTGATTTGATTTACGTAAGATTTTTTTCCCAAACCTCTGGTGATAGGTTTTTTCCCTGACATACAAAGCCATAGGCCACTCCCGTGTTCCTAAACCGTCACCTTCAAAATGAGGTAAAGTGCTCAACCTGTCTTGTGAAAATGAGTTTTATTTGCGTGAGAATGAAAAGTCATTTCCATATCAAAGGCTGAGCACTTAACCTTGTTTTTATACAGAGGCCCGAAGGAACTCGGAAAAGGCCTATTGTATGGCAGGTATTTCCTTGAAAGATTTTTTTTGCTCGAAATCAGTTTGCAGGATATTTTTCACTGAAATCACCCTTAACCCCCTCCCCCCTTCTGAAAAGCCAAATGGTCGGCCCTTAGCTTGATACTGACTTTATCTTTTCGCGCGCTTTTTCTCGGTTTGTCCTTTTATCCATAGTTTGTTTTCTCTAAATCTCTGCTCTAACCAATAACGACGAACATTTTTTCTTTCAACCAATCACACGCTATGTAAGAACTAGTGGCTCCATTTTCCCCCTCGATGATAGGTTTACAGAACGCGTTCTGACAAACATTTTTTATCCAACTGTAGCAAATTTTTAAACTTGTTTTTAAGCTTTCTCTCAACAAAGCTTATCGTTTTCTCGCTCTATTTTGCCTCTTAAGGTGAATGAAGACAGCTTACGTCACTTCCGAGAAGAAGGCCTTCAAGTATTGACGTTTAAAATCCCTTTGGACGTGTCAGGTGCCGCGGGCCTTGGGGTCAGCGTGAAGGGAAAATCAGGAGCATCTTCTGACAAGGGTAGGAACAGTCCAAGAGACAAAGGCATCTTTTGCAAGTCCATCATTCCCGGGGGGGCGGCGGCTAAAGATGGCCGTCTTCGCCCAGAAGATCAGCTCCTTCGTGTTAATGGAAAATCTTTGGTTGGTTTAACTAACCAATCAGCAATGGAAACGCTTAGACACGCGATGCAGTCCACGCGTCCTAATCAAGCATTCATTGACGTCACTATATCTCGGGAGCAAGACGAGTTACCCCCTCCCCCTGGAGTGTTGCTTCAGAGCAAGTCTCTAGAGAAGCTTAATGCTCCTGACCAGGAGAGGCCCATAGAAGCAGAGTCTGAGGAGAAACGTGTCGAGGAGCCAGTACAGGGTGTTTCCGAGACTGACGGTGGTGTCCCTAGTAAAGGAAGTAAGTTTCCAGTAGTTTAAAGCCAATGTAAAGTGACACGCTCGCGACCAGTGTTCGTGGCATGTAGATTTTCCGAATCATTCCAACCAAGTAGCAATTTATCTCTAACTATAGAGCCGCGTGGGATAAATGCACGCTTTTCCCTCAAATGATGCATTCTTGTTTTTCATGTTGCCTTGTTTGACTTAATAGAGACTTCTAAATTCGAGGACGAAGACGACTGTGAGGACGAAATTTACGGAATTTTTTTTCGCCTGTATTGTTAAAAGAAATATATAACTGTAAAGCTTCATTCTACTTTTTTTTTACCAGAAATGTTAGAACGGTCGATTTTATTGAAGTCGGTGAAGCCCTTGCTTCTATCAGAATCACATTTTCGCTAAAACTTGGCCCCTAGTTGAATGACGACGTCTACCAGGTTTTCCCGCCAAAATGACGCTTGTTAACGCGTTCGCACTACTTAGTATTGATAAAATCTGGTACTCGTCTTATAATCTTAAGATCTCTAATCATAATATATGAATTCATACATTATCGCTCAAGACGTCAGCTTCCGGAACTCTTCACGGTGGCAAATTTACTTTATCTACTTAACCTAACAGTACGACAACACAACTACACCTAAGAAGAAAAAATACTTCATTGCGTGAAATAAGTACTTGAAAAAAGGTGAAAGTAAATTTTATTTTCTGTTACTTAGGACTTTCGAGCAGTGGAAGTGACGACCAATTTAATGAGTCCTTCGTAAACAGAAACCTAACACCTCTCCGAGCTCGAAATGGCGTTCAACGCAATGATTCCTACTATGTAGCAGTCAATAAAAGTCAAAGTCCTGGCGGACACTTCTACAGCCCTTTACGGCCACGTCCATTTCATCGACCCAGTCCTCTAGCTGTTGGAAATGGCCGAACACAATTTCCTGGTCCCATTACTCCCGCAAGGACGTCAACGCCAGTGGACAATCGAGTAATAAACCCTCCGATCAATTTTCCCGCCGGAAGGCCTATAAGTACTGTTGCTATGCCAACGCCTCCTTTGGAAAGCACTGATGACAGGCCGTCGAGTCCATCGCAGGCTTCTCCAAAAGCACTTCCACCCCAGCCCCCTCCAAGATGGGACTCAGAGAGGGATACTACGAAAGTTAATTACGGTGCGCCATCTGGGCTGCAGTTACGGCTTAAAATGCCGGACGGACAGAACTCACCGGAGAGAGGGGCCACCCCAACTACACCGCCTCCCCCTCCCTCTCAGTTTTCGAACCAGTCACCTACACGGGAGCTTCCTCCCTCCTACGACCAGGCGGTCGCCCGGCTAGGGAGGTCTCCTCATCCCTCTGTTAGTTCGGAACCGACTACACCGGTCAAAGAGCAGCGGAAGTCATGGAGCGAGGATGTGAACGGGGAAACTCCGATCATCCGGCCGCCTAGTCCGTTTTCATCCGAAGACGATAATCCATTCCAGAGGGATGGCTTTGGTAGGTTGTCCATGTCGGAGAAACGAGGCCGAGCAGCGCTGGACGCTAGACAGTCAGAATTCTTCATGAAACGAGATCAAGAAAGGAGTGAAGGTGAGAATCTTGAAAACCGTGAACACCTGAAATTATATTTCGTGAGGATTGTAACTTCCTCGTGAGATAAATGGCAACACTTTTCAGTAATAGTAGCTCTTGACACTTACATAATTCCTTTATTTGCCCTCGGCAGTATTTATAGCACTTATGCTATAAATATGCAACTGCAAACCAAAACCAGCTGACTATTTACAAGCGTGGTCGAGGATTTGAACTCGGGATTACCGTGAACAAATCCAGCTAGAGGTCAGGGCGGGACTTGAACTATGGGCCTCCGAATTGCAGGTCCAGCGCTCCCAACCGCTCGGCCACGCTACCCTAATAGAGATCAGCATCAAATCAGCCTCAGGTTTCCAAGCGACAAATCTGATTGTACTGCCGTACATTTTTTTTAGGGAGTGCCTCGGAAGAGGAAGAAAAGGAAGAAGAAGAAGAAGAGGAGGAAAAACCCGCCGCAGCAAATACACATCCGCCCCTCAGACGAGCTGACTCTGAGGAGTTGTTACGAGAGCAGTTCAACAAAGGTAAGATTTAATGAACTTGAATTGTGTACTTCACTTTGCTTCGCTTTTCTGCTTCAGCACTGCTTAGTAGGTTAAACTTAAGCAGTTATCCAAAGACTCAAAAGTTAGAACTACCTTGTGAGGCATATTAAATAGCACCAGGAGAAAACACTGCTCAATAGCTTTCATTTAGCTGTCGATGATGATGATGATGATGACGAGGATAATGATGTTGATTGGTTTATTTTGTAGAGTCAAAACTCTTCTAATTACAACCAGTAACAATATAGTTGAGACACGTTTGCAAACAATAGAAATAAAAAAAACCACTGGTTTTCTTATTTCAATTCTCGTAAAAAAAGAATTCTCAGGAGTACAAGAGATTCCCCCCGCCCGCCCGCTCCGTGCCTCTCCTTTTCTCGTGGTTATCTCTACAAGTGCTGAATATGATCTCAGAATCCTTTGAACTTTGACAACAGTTGTTGGGGCAGGAGTTGTGCAAAGTCTGATAAACACCACTTTTGGCTTATTAGGCTTCAGTCTCAAGCCTTTTTGTAATTGGTTGTAGCTTAGGATTTACGAACTAGAAACATTGCTGGTGTTTTTACCCCTTGTAGGTTCCCAGGACGAAAGAAGATCACTTCCTCATAGTCGTATGCAAAAGAGCAAATCAACTGGTCAGCTTAAACATGTCGGCGTTAAAGACAAAAATAAAAAGTGAGTAATTTGGTTTTTGCCAAAAAAATTCCCAGTTTTTTTTGTGTCAAACCCTACATGACTACAAAGTAGTTTTCATTGTTAGTATTATTACCTTATTATTCGGGGTATCTACTCTATAATTTTATTAACTATTTAGGTGTCCCAAACTCCACACTTACATGGAATATTTAAGAACGTTTCTTTTCCGTCTCCTCTTCTCCCCTAATAATGTCTATATTGAATTTGTAAATTATTTGGACTATTTCTCTTGTAGTTTATGCGTTTGTGTTCATTTTGTGTAGAATCCTACTCTTGTAATTATCATAACCGTACATATTTTGTGTGAGTTAAAAGAAACAAATAGAGTGAATTATTAATACAAATGTATTTTGATCTTGGCTTTTATAGGTCAAAAAGCAACGACAACCTAAGTTTTACAAAGGCTGTTGAAAATGCCAACAACGCATATTCAGGTGAGAATTATCACCCCATCCTCCCGACTCTTCCTCTTTTGCCCAACCCTAGTTTTAAACATATCGTTAGAAGGAAATCGCTGGGGTTTCAATTTCTGTCTTTCCTACCTAAACAGTTACGGTCAAACTAAGAAAACCGTGGACACTTAAATACAAAACTTCTATCCAAATACCCGTTGTTATCTGCCGTTTCGTTTTTTTCCAGTATGACTGGCCTTTTCCTTGCAATACGATAGTGCTCGAAAAAAATTTCTGGTGTTCATAGTTTTCTGAGTCGGTTCAGAGTAACAGTTTTTGACCCCTGGAAGTAATGACTCTCCAAAAATATCGACCCCTTGGTCTGATTATCTCGTTAACTTCTGAAAATAACGGTATTACGCTTTGGGAAGAAAGAAAAATCGTTTTAAGGCAGGATAAAAACCCTGTAGCCTGTGTAGCAGGCGCTTGGAAGTAGTGGGCACAAGAAAAAACGGGCGCGCGAGAAGGAGACACGCGAGGGGAGAGGGAGCGCCTGCACGGAAGGCCGCCGAAAATCGTTTCTCGCCCCCTCTCCAATTACCTGGCAGCCGTTGCGTGATCTGTCAAAAGTTTTGACAGAAAACGACTGCCCCCTCGCGTGTCTCCCTCGCGCGGGCCCGTTCTCTCTTTCGCCCACTACTTCCGAGCGCCTGCTACGCAGGCTAAAAACCCTGCAGCCACTCAACTTACACATGTAGATATCGCGTGACTTATGTGTTCTTTGCGTGATATATTTACAGGAAGTGACATGCCCAATGGTCACGCACGCAGTCAGTCTGAAGAAGAGGTACCTATTACAATGCAGAGTAACGCAGATTTCAATGCAGTGCAACAGAAACTTGCTGTCAAGAAACCATTCTACAAGGGAATATTCAAGTACGTACTTCGTTAGGCTTTTGGTTTGTCAACGACCATTAAAAGGTGTTACTTTGTTCACTAGTGTTTAACTTGCGGGTACACCCTTCTCTCCTCGCTCGCCGCCAGGAACCATTCGCGGGAAGTAACTCAAGCGGTGAAGAGCGAGGACAGACGGCTGTATTCGCGGGCTTTTTCAGGCTGTTTCCGCTGTGTCCGGTAGATATACGCCCTTAATCTGTTCTAAACTCTTTTCAAAGAGTTCGCCATGCAACTTTAAGGTGGAAGGTGAATACCTTAAATAAGCTGTGTGGGTTTGCGCGTGTCCAGTTTTGGTCTGGTTCAGGACCTACACTGTACAAGATTGGTTTTCATTCTAAACCGCTGCTCGTAAGGGTTGAAGCGTTGAAGCGTAGAAGCGTGGATGCCTGTAGCCTGCCAGTACATCCCATCGCTGTCCGTCGTTAGGAGCGTTTACAAAATTCCGTGTTGTGATCTGAAAAAGGGCGTAAGTTGCAGTTCGTAATGTCGGGTGGAAATGGCGCACATCCCCTTGTGATCATTTGTGGTCAGTAGCTTTGATTGCTAACAGCTGAAGACAGGTGGCCTTCTTCTTTATCACCAGCCGTCTTCTGTAATTTACTACCATCGGTCCCGAGGCAAATACTTCCTCTTACTCTTACGCGTATTTTGAGTATTTTAAGAGGTGACAAACTCAAGCTTTTTAATTTTACTCACTTTTTCAGGATTGGAAAAGGAAAGAAAGGCGATTACAATTTAACAGACAACGATGGTCTTTCCTTCAAGCATACGTATAACAGAGAAGCACTGATCGATTTTCCCGCCGAGCAGCGTTATCGACAGCTTGTCAATCACTACGGGCAAGAAAAACCCTCCGACCGCGCGAATACGCTTCCGACTCGCAGCAAAAAGAAACACGATGTCAGGAACAAAGGCTACGAAGAAGAACGACCGGCTCCGATGTTGAAAGTCGGAAGAGTAACAGTAACTGCACCTACTAGGGTTTAATACACATGACTTTTTCTTAGGTACTCGTGAATTCAGATTTCGAACACGTGATAGTTGAATGCAAAGTAGATTGACTGTTTTCGCTCCAAAAGATTTTGCGCTCTTTGTTTTAAAGAAATTGTGATACCAAGCTTAAGCGTTAGCTATTGATATTCAAGAACTTGCAAAGCATTTTTATTTTTGTCCATATGACCTTTTAGGTCCTAAAAGTCCTCTTGAAATTGTAAATGAACGAAAATCAATTTCTTTTATTAATATAGTTCTTCAAGCCCAGAGTGAACGAGAAATATTTTGATACTTTCCGCAACTCGTAATTCCTTACACGCAAAAAAGTTTCAGTTCTCGTTATTGTCTTGTCCTTTCATCGTTTTCCTCTGGGCTTGTGGAGTCTTTTCTTAGCGATTGTACTGCAGAAACCCGTTTATTCGAAGCACTGTCGTCCTAAATGTTCCAGTGAAAAAATCTAATTTGTATGGACGAGATTTCGAGTGGTTAGGGTTTTACAGTGTACCTCAGTTTCAATAAGTTATGTGTTAAGTGAAATGAAAGAGAGATTAAACAGTAATGTGATAACCAAGCGGTAACAATAAGCTGAAACTCATGTGGTTAATTCGATTTGTAGATTGTATTGATCCTAAATAGCTGATTATTTTTCCAGAAAAGAAAGAAAACATATTTTGCATTACGTTTTTGTAAAGTAACTTAAATATATCTCTACCCGATCTGTAAATAGCAATACACCTCAATTACAATCAAAATAGTAGAATTTTTTTCTTAAAATTGTACCAACTGATATATATGCAAATTTAGCTAGGTTTGTAATAATTGCTTTGTGGTTTAAGTTTGATCACAGATTATTGTCGCCGATATCGACGTTGTTGGTCGCGTTTATCTAAACTGATTAGATGCACCAATATTAAACGCTTATTTTCTAAACGTTGTGGTGGGCCGTTTTGTTGGAAAAGGGGGTGTATTGTTGAAGAGTGAACTTGGGCATAAACCAGTTACGCCTCTGACGGGCTCAATGGACCTCAAAGCTCCTAGAGCGGGTTTTCCTCTCCCTTCACAAGTTGATCCTGTGGACTTGTACTCTCAATAGATTATCCGCCGCTTGGTTATAGTTCATTCGGGAGAGCGACAGTCTGCCGGGTGCTGAGCGGGAGGACTTGGGTTAGAACCCCGTCCTGACCAACAACCAGAGTCTTTTAAAGTCGCAAGACCATGCTGGCTGGCTGTCTCACTTCAGACAATCGCGTTACTGGGCGGTGACGTCGAGCCGTTGGCCCTCATCTTGTCGGCTTATCAATTCGAAGTCGACGTAAAGCGCTCTTAGACTCAGTGTCGAAAGCTCTCGACATCATCGAGCGTAGTACGGCATTAATAGCCCGCAATGTGGGTAGCAAAATTCTGCGCAATGCATCTCTTTGTAGTGTTCTCTCAAACGGAGGAGTGAACTTAACGCTTACTAAATACGAGTGCAATTACTACTGACAATAGAGTGGATTTTCAGGCAGATGCTTAACAAGATTTCAAAACTTGACCGAGTCAGAGATTGAGTACATTTGAAGGCTCTTCGCGCCCCTCCTAATTTTTAAGGGAAAAACTCTGGAGACGAGGTTGTTGGAGGCTACCTCAGTGATGTGCCAATTGAACGTCAAACTTGCATCCAAGAAAATTCCCAGGCTCTTTGCTGATTGTGATGGTGTTATAGACTTTCCAAGCAGGGTGACGCAGAAATCGTTAGATGAGGCATTCATTGAAGCATCTGCGGTGTACCCAGTAACAGCCGCTTTGACTTGTCTGAGTTAATGAGCAAGACCTTTTGACAAAACCGGGAAGCAATCTCCCGCAGATCCTCTGTTAACTGAGCCCTTAGCTACGCTGGTGGCTCCAACAGGAAATGACATAAGGAGTTGCGAATCATCAACATAACAATTTAGTGAGGCTGCATTTGGGACAGCTGATGGCAGATCGCAACAACATAGATATCAAAGAGGGCAGGACCCAGAATCGAGCCTTGTGGGACGCCATGACATAACACACGAGTGGATGATATGCATCCCAATTCTAACTAACCGTAGTCTGTCGGTCAAGTAACTTTTGAACCTCTCAGAGCCCCTACCCCATTAAAGTCTATTCTGTGGCCAGTTATAGACCCCATCTTAGTCACTTTTGGGCAAATATGCAATTTTCGCGATCCCAACTTAGTCACTTTCTAGTTATGTATCTACCTTACAAATGCTTTAAAAAAGTCATCCTTAAATGATTTTTTTAAAATGAATGAAGCACACTTAATTTTAAACTTACAGTACAAATATTTTGGTACGTTTGCTAACCATAAATATGAAGAGTTTTCTTACCCCCAAAACCGAAAATGTGCGACCCCATTCTAGTAACTATATTGAAAATGCGACCCCATTTCAGTCAATCTAGTCGTGAAAGTGCTACCCTATCCAGGGGCATATCTATGTTAGCCTCTTATAAGGAAGTACACCCCTCCCCCTCCCCGATCTGCTGCTGGTCGGATAAGGATCACGTGACTCATTAAGGTATCCAATTACCATTTTTAACTTCAGGTCATCTGCTGGAGAACCTATGCACACTATCTTAACAAACGAGAATCGTCAAAAGGCGATTTTAACTGAGCGGCCAATTTCCCTGGGTGAGGGGGTGGCTGCACACTTATGCCATCAGTGATGTCGCTTACGATTGCGTAACGTAGCATCACATGTGAGAGATAAAACAGTTACTCAATTGAACATTGTACCCTTTTGGAAGAGTTTCGTAATAACAAATATGAGTACCATTTTTAAGTCAGGGCTGGATAGTACCTTTTCAAATTCCACCATTATGAATAAAAATAAGCAAATGAGCCATTCTAAGCAGGAAACAATAAGCGTTATTTTCACGCACTCTTTCCCCAATCCCTCTGCTCCCCAAAATAAAGCGTGACTAATTTGACCTAAGCGGAAATTCCAAAAATAGTTGTCGTTACGGGTGAAAACGCTGTTAATAACAAGCAGTACATTTATCAATTCTGGTTCTTAAAACTAACACAGCAAATTAAATTTAAGTTTTGTTTTTGTCTGACATTGCGTTATGAAGCCTTTTTAACTATCCTAGCGAATATACATAATATTTTTTTGACATGATGATCTACAATGAGCACATTCCCCAGGACATTCCTTTGTCCGTTTTATCCCGGGGGAGGAACTCTCTTACATTAACCTTATAGACATTGCTCTGAAATAGTGTAAAGATTAGATGTGGCGGACGGTGCACCCCCACTACGACGTCCCAGAAATACCCCCCCCCCCCCCCCCCCCCCCCCAAAAAAAAAAAACCACATCTTTTAAAAGGACCCCCCACACGCCCCCCACCTAAAAACACGGGGGAAAAGGTTTGTTTTTTGGAAGGATGGAGGAGGAGGGGTCTCGCAGACCCTCGAGTCATCAAGTATCAAACTGTTTTTTTTTCTCGCCAGTCCACAAAAAAACAATACAAACATGAA